GTATGTATGTATGTATGTATGTATGTATGTATGTATGTATGTATGTATGTATATAGGCAAGCCCATCATTAAGTGAGTTTTGCCCCCATTCTATGACCTTTCCTGCCACCGTTGTTAAGAGAATCACTGCCATTGTTAAACTAGTAAGCGAATTGTTAAGCGAATTTCTCTTCCTTGTTGACTTGGTTTGTCAGAAAGTTGCCAAAGGGGCTTATGTGACCCCTGGACACCACAAACGTTCATAAACGTGAGACAGTGGCCAAGTGTCTGAATTTTGATCGGGTGTCCATGGGGATGTCATAAAATGTGAAAAACAGTCATAAGTCACTTTTTTCAGCCACTGTCACTTAGAACAGTCGCTAAATGAAGGGCTATAAATTGAGGACTACCTGTACTGGATAGCCAAAACCTTTGAGTCAATTCAGTTCAGTTTATTAGAGTCATAGACTAGAGACCAGAACAAATAAAAACACTCAGTAAATATACAATTAAAAATTCTAGAATGAAATAATAAATAACAGATCAAATCTATGATAAAATCCAGTCTGTCAATTTCGCGTGGTCTGACTATACTAAAATTACAATTGCACTATTTTTTTTAATTAGAAGGAATGGAATGGAATGGAATGGAATAGAATAGAATAGAATAGAATAGAATAGAATAGAATAGAATAACAAAGTTGGAAGGGACCTTGGAGATCATCTAGTCCAACCCCCTCCTCAAGCAGAAGGCCCTACATTATTTCAGATAAGTGATGGTCCAGTCCTTCTTTAAAAGCCTTCAGTGATGAAGCACCTACAACTTCTGGTGGCAAGCTGTTCCACTGGTTAATTGTTCTCACTGTCAGGAAGTATCTCCTTAGTTCTAGGTTGCTTTTTTTCTTGATTAGTTTCCACCCATTGCTCCTTGTCTTGCCCTCCAGTGCTTTGGAGAATAGCTTGACCCCTTCCTCCTCTCTGTGGCAGCCCCTCAAATACTGGAAGACTGCTATCCTGTCTCCCCTGGTCCTTCTCTTCTCTACCCAATTCCAGCAACCATTCTTCATCTGTTTTAGCCTGGAGGTTTGTTAAGCCTCCTTGTTACGGAGTATTTGGGATCATCCCGTGGCTACCTCGGAGACTATGTTTTTTTCAACTCCAAGAGATTCTTGCCTTTAGTATGTATCTGTGAAGCTCAGCAAAGATGCACCTTAATGAGCTGCTTCACCTTGACAGAGCATTGATTTGACACTTTCCAGCAGAGCTTTGATGTGATACTTTCTGGGGATGTTTTGATAGGGTTTGGAGTTGTGTTGTCTGCATTTCTTTGTTATTTGATAGGGGAGGGGAGTGTTTATCCTCCCTGATTGGTGTTAATTCTGATATTTACAGTTTTGTTCCATAAGCCACTGGGCAAGATAAGATAGCTCAAAGACAACTAAAATTGTGTTTGATCACCAATTTTCTAGTGTCCAAACCTCCTTCAAGGCAAGCTTGATATCTTCCATGGGGTTTCCTTGGCATGTCTTCAACTAATCTTTAGAAGTCTCTCATCAGATTATATATATCTTCCTCCTCTTCCTCTTCCTCTTCTTTTTCTTTTTTTCTTTCTCTCTCTCTTCCTTCTATCTTCTATATTATTATTTTATATATATATATATATATATATATAAATAAATAAATAAATAAATATAAAACGGGCGTGGGTGTGTGTATGTTCTAGCATAACTCTGGAATGCCTTGAGCAATTTCAACCAAACTTGGTAAACAGATGACTTACCCTCTGGAAACAAATACTGTGGGGTAAGACACCCCTAACATCCCTCAGGGGGATGTGTACCTTAAAATGGCTTCTACTGTACAGCACCATGGACTTGCTCTGGTAAAAGCTTCACAATACTCCACAAGGGGACTCCCTCTCAGCCCTCCAAGGAAACGTCAGACGATTGGCCAAGTGTAATCAAAAAAATGAAACACCAGCATAGACAAGAAACTCCTGAGAGAAAGGAATAGAAGACTTGCAATGCTACACGAGAGACAGTACAACAGCGTGAGTCCCAACTACAGGATTTTGTGTGTGTGTGTGTGTGTGTGTTTCTGGGGGAAATCAGAAAATATATTTCTGTGAGAAATCAATTTTAAAGTTCCTTTCTGTTTCGTTCTGTCTTTTCGATACAGAGGACATACATTTTCACCTTCCTTCTGAGCTCCCGTGTCTTCATTCATCCTCAGGAGCTCTTGGCTAAAGTTGGACACCTCTGCCTGAAGCAGAAACAGCAGCTGGAGACCGGGGTTGAAGCAGACAAGGTAAGTGAGCGATGAGGTTGTTCCATTGATTTTAGCTTGGCATTTTCTCTCCTTCCCATCTACATCACTAATAGACAAGCAGGTCCTGGAGTTGGGAATCCCTGCCCTAAGAGATTACAATAGGTGCAGTGGTTAGAAGGCAGTATCGCAGGCTAATTCTGCCAACTGCCAGCAGTTCGATCCTCAAGATTGACTCTGCCTTCCATCCTTCCCAGGTCGGTAAAATGAGAACCCAGATTGTTGCTCTGTAAACTGACATAGATAGGCTGACACTGTAAACCACTTAGACAGGGCTGTAAAACACTGTGAAGCAGTATATAAGTCTAAGTGCTATTGCTATTGCTAATAAATAGACCAGTGCTGCTCCTTCAATGAAAAAGTCAAATTTGTAAGCTGGGAAAGAAATACTTGTGTATCCTGTCCTTGAATGCCCAGAAAGACTATGAAATGAACTCTGGTTTAATGCATGTTTATAATAAATTGAAACTGAACACTTTTAAGTTTCACCTTTAAAAGCTAAGAAAGATGGGCTCTATTTAGTAAGTCAATGGGACACCACTGTGTCTTCCTTGGTCTGTTAAGTTGGACTGGGAAGTTTTGAAAACCTGTTATTGGAAGCAATAACAAAACCTTTCCCATATTTTTGCTGGCACCTCCACACAATCACAATGTCTCCTGCGCCACTCAAAGGAGATTAACATTTCAACTAGACTCAATTGCAATACTTGAAGGGCTTGTCAAATCTATTCTCCCAAGCACCCTGAGGGCAGGACAAGAAGTAACAGGTGGAAAATCATTAGAGAGAAATGCAACCTGGAGCGAAGGAGAAATTTCCTCACAGCCAGGACAATTCATCAATGGAACAGCTTGCTTCCAGACATTGTGGGTGATCCATCACTAGAGGCTTTTCAGAAGAGATTGGACAGCCACTTGCCTGAAATGGGATAGGATCTCCTGCTTGAGCAGGGGGTGGGACTAGAAGACCTCCAAGGTCCCTTCCAACCATATTGTTCTATGTTCAGTGCTCAGTCAACCTGAACTGAGTTCTATTGGAGCAATGTTTTCACTTCCATTTGGATATGCTTTCTAAGAGGGGATTAGAAACAGAGAAGTTGTGCAAAGACTAAGCAAGAAGAGATTTGGAGGATAAGACTTCATTAACTTGAGAGAGTGGGGGGAGAGAAACCTATTTGCAAAGCTTAACAGAGGCATCCGGCATCTCTAGCTATCGAGAATTTGAATGTTCCTGCTGTAATGGAGTATAGAAACATGTCTTGTGTCAGCGTTCCAATCAAACTCCCCAAGGCTGACATCTTGCGTTTCTCTCAGCTCCTCCAGTTGATAAATAGAAAAGTTCAACTTTTAAATGTCTATGGGGATTCTCAGTCATCAAGTCATGGATGTCCCAAAGATGCTTTTTCAGGTGACCCTGAGGACACAAAAGGCCTCAACAACTCACTAAAAGGATGCAAATGACCCGCTGTCTGCAAGGAGTATCAATCCTTCCATTCCCCACCATCCAGCCAGAGCTGAAGAAGCTTCTTGGATGAGAAGCAAAACGTCTTCAAAGAAAAACAAAGAAAGTCCATTTGCCTTTTGGGGAATGAATGAATGAATATATATATATATATATATATACATGTTTTCATCAACAGCGCAATGATTTTTCTTTAAACCCAAACTTTGAAAATAATAATTTAAAAAAAACCAGTAAATTAAGGATAACAATCCAAAGGAACTACAATGCAAAACAGGGAAGGTTTGCCCACACACCTCACACAGCGATAAAATATTGGCAAGAAGCACTGTATGAAAATCAAAGCTGCTCGACGGTGTGTAAGTAGTAACGTTGGCAGGACAACCCCGTGTTGTGGTTCCGTTGCTAAGCTATGTTGTCATTCCCACGTGAGCGCCACCAGCGACGAGCCAAATCTCAAAAGAAACTGTTCCAAATCATAAACTGGTAGATTAAAAGGAAACTTTAGCGCTGCTCAGATCAACTTGGGAGGTTTGACATGACAAGTCGAGATCTCAAATTCTCCCACTTTATTACACATTCATAATGGGTTGTGCACCCTGCCAACTAAGGATGGCTAAGCAGAAAAACAAAAGGAAATCCATCTGAGGTTCAGAAAACAATCCTAATATAACAGTAAGGTAGAAGTGACATGGTTGCTGAAAAAGTGCATTAAAACATACATGACTACAGTAAGTCGTACATATACGACATACAACAGTTCGTTTAGTGACCATCTGAAGTTACGGCAACATTGAAACAAAAGTGACTTAAGGCCATTTTTCATACTTATGACCACTGCAATCACATGATGGTCCTGTGATCAGAAGTTGAACACAACTGGTATGTATTTATGACAGTTACAAAGTCCTGGGATCATATGTGTGATGACCCAGAGTGGGATACAAAAGCAACAAAGTCACAAAAACAGATGACGTTCTTTTAATTCCTTCAACTTGGTTTTAAAGGTCCAAATATCATTGACTGGAGAAAAACCTCCTACACAAACAGTTGTGAAAAGGAAGAACTTCTGTTCAAATTCAAAATACATATAAATTATAAATAGAAAAAACAACACAAACCACACTGAAGCAATTAAGGAGACAAGGCAGGATAAGGGCTTGAAGACGTCCACAGATATCGAAATACGCACACTGGGAAGGATTCCAGAACTCAGATAAGAACTGAAAGACTAGAAATATTTTCACGCTTTGCTTCCAGCAGTGACCCATGCAGAGTTTGTCCTTTTAAACAGTCCTCACAGCTGCAGCCCAAGAAGGGGATCAAGTCCCTTTCCTCCCCCATAGACCACACCATTCACGTTTCTCCCTTATCCACTCCTCCCTGCATGCCCTAGGATGAAGAGGGGGTGGGCCTGGGTCTTCCTCTGACTGCCCAGCTGGCCTGTGCCCTTCCCCAGTTTCCTCCAGAACCTCTGGAGCCACACTTCCATTCCCTGTTGGCTGTTCCTCCTCTCCCTAGGAGTCAGATTCTAACAGGGGTATGACAATATGATTCCCTTTGGCAACTCCTTCTGACCAGCAAAGGCAATGGAGAAGCCATATTCACTTAACAACTGTGTGTGATTCACTTAACAACTGCAGCAAGAAAGGTTGTAAAATGAGGCAAAATTCACCTAATTGTTGTGCTTAGCAATGCAAATTTTGAGCTTAATTCTAGTCATAAGTCGAGCACTAACTATAGTAGCTTGGTTACACATTTCCCAAATAGTTAACAGGGAACATTTTTCTTAGTATCTTCACTTTGTTCTGTTTGTTACACATAAACAACATGACTTCAAAACATGTCCTTATGCAACAAAAACACTGATATGTTACAAAACCTGGAACAAGCATTTCACTTGTTCTTAAATGTCAGATCCCAGTTAAGAATTTGATCTTTTTCAAGGCAACTCCTCCCGTCGTGTTTACTCTCGGCTGAAGCAATTTTACAAATGCACATAGATAGTTATGGTTTTCCTATCCATCTACCAGTATCAAATGCAGAAGAAATGCACATTTCAGACAACAACTCCTTGAACTGAGCTGGATTCTACAGACACATAATGTTAATCTGTTAATAAACGGTGTAGGGTCTCCTGCCTGGGTGGGAGGTTGGACTAGATGATCTGCAAGATCCCTTCCAACCCTGTTAATATTTCCCTGGGAACAATCTCAGTTGCCCTTATTTTGTTCTGGGGTCCTTTTTATTTAATTCCCTGTCTAGCTTTGTGGAGCTCCATCCAATCACTAACCAACTTTGACTCTACAAAGATTTGTTTGACTTCAACCAAAATACAAAAATGCTGCCTGTTTAAACTTAATCTGTTTAAATTTGATCCCTGGAAATTTAGGAGAAGGGGGGAAAAAAAGGATTGCACCATGTTCTACCAACCTTTCCTTCCTGACCACCTTGTAATCCTATACAGCCCTCAATATCCAGCTTGGTGTCCCTTCTGTATGTTACTTCTGCTTCAATAAAGAGACACAGAGTTTTTGAAGACGTTTCAAGTCCAGTCTTTTGTCGATGATAACGATGGGGACCCAATAAAGTGCTTGAGCAGGGGGTTGGGCTAGAAGACCTTCAAGGTCCCTCCCAGCTCTATTCTGATTGATTGAATGATGCCGGTGTCCATCCAAAATCAAAAGGGTTGGTTGCCTTAAGAAGGAAAGTGGAACAAACTCGTTGAAGCCATCCACTTAAGAACTGAAGGGACATTAGGATCATCCTGTTATCTGAGAAATCAGTTGAAATTTCCCAGAGTTCAATTTGGACAATTGTAAATGAGATCCCCAACTTTCCTGTGTCTCAGAGGAAAGCAAGTAACCTAGTTGAGAAGACCAAGCTTGGGGTGTCTTAAGGACATCGCAATAGGTAGCAGCAGTTCCTTCCATGCTATTGCCAGGGAGATGGATAGATGTCTCCACAAAGGACAAAAATCTGAGCTAAATTCAGAGTCTCCCTCCAAAAAAAAACAAAAAAACCCCTCCCACCTTTTCACGTGATAAGACTCAATGTAGAATTTCTGGGGTTATTATTATGACTAGCTCGATACCCGTGCTTCGCTATGGAACTATGTGGTTGGGCTTAGTTTTTGGGGAGGAAAATAAGGGGGGAAAATTCTGCCTCTGCCTACCAGCATCCATTGGTATTCATCTGGCTAGCGTCCTGTCAATCTGTGAGAGAGTTGAGGGCTGTTTGGAAACTGAAACAGTATTTGCTGTGTGAGCAAGAAGGAGACAGCAAGGAGCCTGGGCGTGACTTAGCTCAACTGTTCTGTACAGCTGCTTGGTGCTGTGAAACTGAAACTCCTCTCCTCTGCTTGTGTTTGCATTTGGAAGAGATTTCTTTTCAGGTGGGGGGGGAGTAGAACTCCTTAGCATCAGAGTGTGTTGATAATAATAATAATATAGGAAATATGAATGCTCTAATGGTCATTTCAAAAAATCCTTTCTTAGTGAGCCCCTAGAAGCCAAGAGGAACATAGGTGCCAAATTTCAAGTTTGTAGGCTTTACGGTTCTGGAGATTTTGTGATGATGCCTGAGTGGTATTTCGCAGATAGATAGATGGGATGGATGGATGGGTGGATGGATGGGTGGATGGATGGATGGATGGATGGATGGATGGATAGATAGATAGATAGATAGATAGATAGATAGATAGATAGATAGATAGATAGATAGATAGATAGATAGATAGATAGATAGATTTTAAGCAGAAGCCCAACTTAAACCAACCATTCTCTTGTAGCAGAAGTTCTTTTTAAAAAAATACATCTTCCTTTTTCTCCTAAAGGGAATTGGACTAATTTGGCATCTGTTGGACTCAATTCCCAAGCAAGGGTACACAAGCACAGAAGAAATAACCTGTTTTCCTTCCCCTTTAGAGAAAGGGAGAAAGAGTCACGAACTTTTCAGATGATCTGATTAGCAGGGTGAACAAAGGAAGTCCCTGCTTCTCACCACTTCATTCAAAGAAATCCTTTTACTCGCTCCCATTTAAGCACTTCCCGTCCTTGAGAACTAGGTTTTAATTAATACCCATCCATCCTAATATAAAGAAACAGGATGGAGTTATGACAACAAGGGGCACCAGGAGCAATGAACAAAATGCCCTGTGACCAAGTGGGGGACAACCAGGATGTCCCCACCTTCCAGGACACAGTTGACTGACTCAATCAGGAAGTGTATTTCCAACTCTCTCTGACAATGCCCCATTGAATTCTGATCATCTATGAATGAATTCAAGCTAACATCCAATAAAGTTGGAGGAATTGTCTCTCTATAAATTTGATTGCTCTAGTCTAGGCAGAGTTGGGCGTTTTTCTTCTTCTCAAGAAGTTCTTCCCATCCCACCTTGGTCAACCACTGAATGGTGTGCTAGGATGGTCCATTCACAGGAATGGCGCTGTCCAGAAAGTCAAGATGGAGGTTGCAACCATGCAAAATCACAGTTCTTGTTGTGTCATCTCCTTTAAATAAAGGGACCAAGCTTTGATTGTACAGCTGTGACCATCGGGGGAAGGACTTGCCTTCAGAAGTTGTGGGTGATCCAACACTGGAAGTTTTTAAGAAGACATTGGACAACCATTTGTCTGAAATGGGATAAGGTTTCCTGCCTGAGCAGGGGGTTGGACTAGAAGACCTCCAAGGTTCCTTCCAACTTTGTCTGTTCTGTTCTATTCTATTCTATTCTATTCTATTCTATTCTATTCTATTCTATTCTATTCTATTCTATTATTCTATTCTATTCTATTCTATTCTACTCTACTCTACTCTACTCTACTCTACTCTACTCTACTCTTTATGCTCTACTCCACTCTACTCCTTATTGTATTCTCTTTCTTATTCTACTGTATTCCACTCTACTCTACTCTGTTCTGTTCTACTCGATTCTATTCTTATTCTATTGCATATTCTATTCTATTCCGTTCTATTCTATATTCTGTTCTATTCTATTCCATAATGAAATTAAGACAAAAAATAATTTTGATTTTGTCTCATTGATGTATATATGATGATGCTAGTGTGATCTGCTGTCATCAGGGCGGCGGGTGGGGGTGGGAGTTGGGTTTTTTTTTTTTTTTTTTTTGCTTTTTTGCTTTTGTTTTTTGTTTTCTGAAATTTTGTTCTATTGTACTTTATTAATTTATTTGATTCTTTTTGTTAGTTATTGTTTTTTATTTTTATGTTTTGTTTTATATATGGTTTTGCATTGTGTAAGCTGCCTCGACTCGCCATGGGCAAATAGGGGGCAATATAAATTAAATATATACTTAATTCATCATTAATTAGCATGATTGACCTCAAGTCATGCATTTAATATTTTTCTCAACCTTCTCTAGATTAAAAACCCAAATTCCAGTGCAAATTCTGTTGCATAAAAATTGCATTTGAAAATACTGAAAACTCTCACCCACTTCAAAACGCAGATACCAGTCTGATATTTCTACTGTTTTTGGAGGAATTGAAAAACTTAACCTAAGAGAGCCCGAAGCATCCTTTCTCCTAGGAGTGTAACCTAGCACTTACATTTCCTAGAGTCTTTCAAATCCTTCCTTGCCATGTCAAATTCGTTTTGTGTTTCTTTGAGTTGCAACCTCTTCTTTTTGACTCAGTCAGAGCATTGGGAGTGTGCTACAATCGACCTACAATCTTTCTCTTTATAAACAACTTTCAAAAGCAAGCCGATTTGGAAGACCAACGTGGGTCTAACATAATGCAGAATACAGAATGTTATTTCAGAATGTTCTGTAACCAAATTGGAAGGGACTTTGGAGGTCTTCTAGTCCCACCTACTGATCAAGCAACAGAACTGAACAAATGGTTGTCCAATCTCTTCTTTAAAGCTTGCAGTGATGGAGCACCCAGAACTTCAAGAAGCAAAGAGTTATTTAAATACAAATTTATCCCTTCCTTTGTTTTAATTCTCCCTTTTTCTAATTGATGGTTCAAATTTTGGTGTCAGGAACCAAATGAATTTGTTCAAATGAATACAAGTTTATCCCGTGCTAGCTCTCTACAAGAATCTGAACTACTAACAGTCAACACAAATTGGCGGAAGTAAGAGCAGAATTCAAGGAGGGCTGGACTTAAATCTCTTTTGGGCATGAAGGGATTTGAGATTGATGATGCATTTGACCCCTCTCACCTGGTCATCTCCTACATTTGGCACTGGACAACATCACAAGGTTGCTCAAAATTCAGAGTTAGACAAATTTTTGATACACTGATAAACAAAACCCCTTGTTCTTGTTTAGGGGAAGCTCAAGGCCTTTGCAACAAAGATAATCCAGCTTCTGAAAGAATGGACCGAAACATTTCCATATGACTTCCAGGATGAGAAATCTATGAAGGAGCTAAAGGAAATTGCTCACCGGATCACCCAGTGTGATGAGGTAAGGAAGAAAAAAGAATGAGTGGTGAGGAGAGATAAAAAGCTCACTTTTATCAACCCATGTATTAACTTGTCAAAGGAGAAATATTTATTGGTAGCAGCAGATTTATGTCTTAGGAAGCGCTGAGACAGAGGACTGTTGACTGTAATTTGTCCTATGCAGCTGGGACATGGGGCATTTTGGATTTGAAGGATCTTTTGGTGCACACCCAAACTATTTTCTTCTTTCAAAGCCCACAGCTTTAAAAAAAAAAAAAAGAAGAAGAACAGTAAGAGCCATGGTGGCACAGTGGTTAGACTGCAGTATTGCATACTAACTCTGTCCACAGCTTGCAGCTTGATCCTGACTGTTCAAGGTTGACTCAGCCTTCCATCCTTCTGAAGTCAGTAAAATTAGGACCCAGATTGTTGGGGGCAAGAGGCTGACTCTGTAAACTGCTTAGAGAGGGCTGTAAAATTGCTATGAAGTGGTATTTGAGTTTAAGTGCTATTGTTATCTTTCTTTCTTCCTTCCTTCCTTCCTTCCTTCCTTCCTTCCTTCCTTCCTTCCTTCCCTCCCTCCCTCCCTCCCTCCC